TTGGGGAGAGGCTCAGTGCTTGTCTCTGCATACCAGCCTCCTCTCTCTCTCTCTCTCTCTCTCTCTGTCTCTCTGCTCCCCTCCCTGGGAGCTTTTAACTTCCCCCTAAGGCTAGCAATCATCCCTCTCACCTGACCCAGGACTCCTGGGCAGGCAGACTCCTCTCTCCAGCCCCCCTGCAGCTGGGCTTCCTGCCTCATTTCACGGGTTGTTATCTTTTTAACCCCCTGCAGCTGGGCTTCTGCCCCCGAGCCATGCAGCTCATTACACAGCCCCTGCATGGGAAATGGCAGAGGCATTCTGTGCAGGTCAAGAGCAGGTGACAATGGGAGGGGAGAAATGACTGTCCTTCAGTCAGGTGGTCACTGCGATTGGTCCGACCGGTCACTGTGCAAGTGAGAGAATGGAGATTTGGGGAGGAGAGCAGGGTTTCTTGTGATGGGACAGCACAGAAGAGCTGTGGCCTGGTCTGTTTTCCTGTGAGGGGAACTGGCAGAGGCTGGAGAGGACCTTCCATCCCAGTGAAAAGCCAGAAGGAGAGATGTCTCCCCGGTTCCTTGGGGAGGAGCTGGGGAACCTCCCCCTGGTACGAAGAAGCAGCATGTCAGCTAGTGATGGGTGCACAGGAAGGGGCAGTTGGCAGAGCAGCAGAGGCCTGGGGAGCTGGCATGTTAATGAAATGCTTTATGCCGCTTTCCCCTTACCCCGCATATTCCCTTAATCTACTTTCCATACACCTATTTAGGAGTCCTGGTAAGTGAGGAGCCCACTCAGGGCTGTTTCTCCACAAAACTCCCTGTGTGCACCTGAGCCAAACGCTGACAGCTACAGTTTCTGCAAAAGGCTGACATAGATCTAAAGGCTTGGAGTATCCCAGTTTTTATTCAGAATAAGAAGTATAAACCCAGCCAGTCAACCCCATCACTTTACTTCTTGTGGCTGCAAACTGCTTCAGAAAACTTTTGGCTGATGGCTAGGGGCAGTTCCAGTGACTGGAGCTGGCAGGGGTGAAGGTGGCTCTTGGGACTGAGGTCTCTCCTGGCAGAACGCCCTTGTGTTCCAGTGAGAAATACCTGGTCTAGCATAACTGGGGAGGGGGGGCTGCACTTGTCACCTCATCCTAGCCTCCAGATGGCAGGGACCTGCTAGAGGACTGAGCATGAGGCAAACAGCTGTATTCTTTTCGATTACTGGAAGCATAAAAATAGCAAGGACCATGGGGCCAGTGATCCGTGAATACCAGAAAAGCAATGGTGTCAGCTCCACTCCAGATCTGATTCATGCTTTTGGCTTCACACATTATGGTCCCGCTGCAAACTGTGAGCCTGGATGAACCTCCTTGGCTTAAGAACATAAGCGTTTACAGTTGTTTGAAGGATCCCCTAGTGCCGTTTGGCTACTGATGGCTCCATGGTGAAGGCTGCTTTTCCTGGTCTGTTGTACATCGTCACCTGTTCTCTCAACTTCCCTGGGGCATGCTTTTAGATTTACAGTTGCAGGATATCACGGGAGCATTTGCAGGTGGGAGGGAGCTGGATGCAAGCGGGAGAGGAGGGAATCAAGAGTCCCGTGTTAGATGGAGCATGTCTCGATTTGTGTCTATAACAAAACGTAGGGTTTTTCATGATGGGGAAGCATCATGGCTTTCAGACTTTGAGCCTGGCTCTATAAAGTCCAAGGCTTGTCATTGTCTAGTGCCTCACCCAGAGTCTGTCCTGAGAACGGCGACTACTGTGTTTGCTGAGCTGAACCCCAGCCCCCATCTGTGTTACACTGCAGGCTTGTGCAGAGTTGTTCCTGATTAAAGCCAGGATGTGCGAGAGCAGCAGCCGCCCCACATGTACAACAGGTGCTCATGTGCATGCAGCTGGTCTGCAGTCTCCACTACTGACATGACTTTGTACCTCTCGGCAAAGACTTATCAGGGGAGCACTGTCCTTACTGAGAATTCGCAAGACGTCAATAAGCTGGAGTGTTCTCCTGACGACCCCAAATGAATGGGGTATGAGTTGTGGTGCAGACCCCAGGGGACTGTTTTTGGGGACTTCGTGTAGGCAGCAATCGGGGTCTGGCCCAGCTGGCAGAGCATGTGAAGGAGTTCCCCCCTCTCACTCCAATTTGGGTCCACGCTAGCTGAGTCCAGGTGTAGTGCTGAGCCATCTCAGGGCTTCCCTACACAATTCTGGCTGCCCAGGGCTGTTCTCATGGCTTTGGACAAGGGCACAGAGGCCTGTGCCCTCTTCTCTGTGTGGGTGGAAGGAAACACCTGCAGGTTTTAACAGGGCCATGGCTCCATTATGGTGGATTCTTGGTCTTTAGTTGTCTCAGCAAGTGCACCAAGAGCCTCGTCCCAGTCTGTTGCTTTGGCTACGCTGACGCAGAGGGAACGGCTGCACATGTCTCCAGCTCTGTGTCAAGCAGTTTATGCCAGACTTTTTCCATTGCGTGCGCAGTGCAATTATTCATCTAGGACTGTAGTGCAGTTGGCGTGACTGCCACGCCCTCCATAGGGGCTGTTCGCACAGCTGTCAGGGCCTCTGCTGTGTCTCATAGCTATTTGGTCATGTCTGGTGCTCAGGGCCCCAGTGCAAATAGCCTGAGTGTAGTGAATGCTCCAAACCTTGGCTCCTCGTGGGTCTGTAAGGAAGTGACAGTTTATCCCCAGATCCCTGAGTAGGGCACCCAGCAGCCTCTGGATATTAAATCGTAAGATCTATGAAAAACATGCTGGCCTGAGGTTATCATGGTGGTTCTTAAACTGCTTTCTGTGAAGAGTTGGCCGGTCTCCTTGTGTTGGCCGTCCTTTTTATTTGCAGCAGCTGAAACACATAAGCAAGCAGCTAAAAATACATTTCATCCTTTCCTGGCATTCCCTCTCGTGTCAGGGACTGCTTTGGTTCCCTCAAGGCCATTGCCGGGGTGGGGAGGTGGCTTGCTCCATCAGGAAGGTGAAAGGCTGGTCCATCGGGCTGTCTGTGGCTAGGCTGTTAGAGGTATAGCATGACCAGCTCTTCCCACCTCTTGGCACTGCTGGCTTTATGATTTACATTCTTGTGCTCATTTCCTTTTGCAGAGCGTTCGATAATTCTAACGAAGGATTTAGACACTGGGAGTTCATGACTGTCCACTGCTGGGGGGAGAGAGCCGAGGGGGAATGGACTATGGAGGTCCGCGACATGCCGTCGCAAGTGCGCCACCCTGCTCATCAAGGTGCGTACCCACTGTCATCCCTCTTGCATGTCCTTGCTGAGAGGTGAGGCTTGGGTGCTGCTCAGAGTGCAGCTCATAGGCTTGTTCATCACACCACGCTTTATGCAGATGTCTGTACAGTACTCACCGAGAACATCTGGGTCCTGGCCCTCAGCTGTTTTGCTTAGGTAGCGCTATGCTATGGTTCGTAAGTATAAGGCTACAAAATGGAGCACCTGGTTTGCCCCCATTTTCACGCATAGGTGCATAAAACTCTTATCCCATATGTAGGGCGTGATGCAAAGACCACTGAGACAGGATAGAATTATTTATGCTGAGGAAATGAAGAGATCTGCCTGCCAATGGATAGTCTAAAAGGGAACTCTCAGCTTAGCTTCGAAGGGAAGTTGAATTTTGCTGAAACCAGAAATACAGGTTCCCAAATCCAGATCAAAACAAAAGGAAGCCAGGGGCTGTAATGTGATTTGAATTGGTTTGGTTAGATTTGAATTGATTTGGCTTGGGAACTCGCATGCACCACGACCGAAAGAGACTTGGGGGTTATGATTGACCACACGATGAACATGAGCCACCAGTGCAATGCTGCAGCTGGCAAAGCAATAAAACTGGCTTACATCTACCAGTGCATCTCAAGCAAGACCCAAGAAGTCATCCTCCCACTT